GTTATTGCTACTTGATTCGAAGGGTTCGGTGCATCAATTTCACCTACTCTTAAAGAAAAAAAAAAGAAAAAGATATAAATTTTATTATTTTTTATTTAAAAATATTAATTTTAATTTTTTATATAAAAATTAATTAAATGATGATATTAATCTAATAAATGATTTTTTAATTATTTAATTAATTTTTAAATAAAAAATAAAAAATTAATATTTTTAAATAAAAATAAAAAATTTAATATTTTATTTAAAAATCAATAAAATTTACATTTTTAATTAAAATAAATAAATTTTGTATTTTTATTTACACTTTTTCTCTATACTTTTATCACATTTATTTCCCTTCTATTATCTCTAATTTTGTTTTTTTTTCCCCTTTAAATTTCATTTTCTAGTAATCAAGATAGGAAGAACATTATGGCCAAAAAAGAGACAGGACAACATTTACATTACTAATTGAGCTACAAATTTATGTGCAAGAGAGATGTCATTTTAACCATTCAATCTCCCCACTGTTAATTTTAGTATTGATCAAGATTCCATTTTTAAAGGGGACTAAATTAATACGGTTTTTTTTTTTTTTTTAGCAATAGTGAATATAATTCTTATGGCCAATCCTTTAATAATAATTAGTTTTTTTCAATAGAACATAGTTGAAATTCTATCCCTATATATACCTTTAAAAAGATATAAAAAATTAATTTAAATAGTTTTTCTTTTAGAAAATATTTTTTTATTCACTTGAATTCGGAAAATATTTTTGCCATAGATGACCGCTAGGTAGGCGTCATTTTATAATTTAATGCGTTCCCAACTTTGCTTCGGAAATACAATTTGGTTATCTGATTTTTTTTTTTTTAATTTTTGGCCATCAACTGAATTTTATCTTATTGGGTTCAAATTTAATAGAAATTTGTAATTTCATAAAAATTTAAAATTAATTTTTTTTATTAAAAAATTTTAGTTCCGTTCGATTAATTCTGTTAACAAAGCTTTTATATAAAATTAGTTAAATCAATGAGTACTCTTTTCCATTTACTTAAATTTAGGTCTTAATTGTAATTGAACTAACATTTTGGTTAAATAAATTGGATTTTTAATCAAATTACCAATTTAACCGTTCTAACCAAACTAAAAAAATTTTAGTTCAATTTAAGTAGAAGGTTCGATTAAAAACATTGATATAAACATTCTTTAATTTAACACACTTTATAATATATTCATTAATAAATTATAATTTATAGATTTGAATTAAGGGCAATAAAATTTAAAATTGCAGATTTTAATGGCAAAATTAGTGGATGTTAATGACTATACTAAATTGAAAGATATATCAATCTTTTTCTTTAGTTAATTGAATTAAAACAGAAAAATGCCCAACCTTGAATTTGGCATTACAACAATCTCAAGTAGTATTTCGTTAGAAACTTTAGCAAATGCTTGAAAAATATTGATGAATGCATTGAAGTCATATGTTCTTTTATTGAAAAATGTTTAACTGTTTGAGCTGTTTAAAATATAAAATACTAACTATTTGATAGAGAAGGACCGTCTGATATTGGCAACCCTCTCCTATAGACTATTCCTATTTTACAAGGCAAAACGGTTCAAACTATAAAATAAGACATCCTTCTTTTATTTTTAAAAACATTTAAAAACCTCTCTCCCCTTTGAAAAATTGAAACTGAATTGATGATCATGTAATATTAATATTTTTCTCTTTTAAAATTAAAATGTGTTGTACTGTACAAATTATATTGAACTTTACAATTTAAATTATTGAATATAGTTGGACCCTTTGATATTGAAAGCTATCCCCTCATCTAACAATGTCCTATTTTACAATTCAAATTATAAAATAAAAAACTTCTTTTAAAATTCCTTTAACAATAATGATTTATCTAATCTATGCCTTTGGACACAAGTTAAGGGTATAATTAATACACTTTTTTATATTAATTAGTATAAAAAATGACAAATGTTGACATTAATTTTATCACCAATGCTATATGTATTGTTCTAATTAGAGGATTGATTAAATAAATGTTAAATTTTATTTTTTCAATGACAATTAATACTAAAAAAATATTCTTAACTTATACCTTTAGAGCACATATTAAAAAAACCCTTACAATATTTACTACATTTACAACATCCCTATACATCAATCTCAGACATACTATAATCTTTAGGTGTTAATTCTATTAGAAATTTTTTAATTCTTCACAACAATAATGAAGATTTTTAAGAGAACAGACATTTCGAAAAAGAATATCCTTCCCATTGGATGAAATTCTAGGACTTAATGAACAATCTCGACACAGCATTTATTAAATCATTAAACATTTGTGCATGCATTAGCCATCAAACAGTAGATGACTACAGATTTTTTAAGAAGATTGTATTCACACCTTAGGCAATGACAAACAAAGATATAATTTTTGAAATTATAGATTAATTATCAAATACAACTGTGGAATATATAATAATTTATACGGTACCATGGACATGGTCATGAAAAAATACTGATCAAATTAATCAAGTGGCACCGTTTACTTGTACAAATTGAACAAGAACACCCTTTAATAATAATGTAATCCACTAATAATAAAAAAAATTTTTAAAAATAATATCTTTAAGAACAACATGTTTGTTCATCATTCAGACAACGAGCGATGATTCCCTTTTCGTAAAAAGTTTTGCATTTTAAGGCTTATATAAAAAAACGTGCCATCCATTCAAGTTCGGCCAACACGAGTATGGCGTTTTCAATATGGAAATCGGGGGAATTTGACAAAGTAGAAATCTATTGTATATTTGTGTCTCCTATTGTTTAGTCTATTACCAGGTGAATGAAAAGTTTAAATACTGTCGTGTTGATCTGATGGTTCATCAACCAGAGTTTAATACTTAGCTGCGTTTGAAATTATGATTAAAAGTTTTGTCTTATAGCTGTATAATGTTTTTAGATATATATATATATATATATTTGGTAATTTTTTTTGAATTATTTTTTTCAAAAGTTATACAAAATTATAATAAATTTATAATAATTTTATATATAAAATAAAAAATTTTATTTTAGACTTTTTTGCCTGTAGCTTTTTGGTTGTACCTCTCATTGACAACAATCACAACCATTGTTGTCAAAATCTAGATTTAAATTTTAAAATCTTATGATTTTACGATTTAAGCAAGATATTTTGTGTAAAATCTATACTAAAATCTGAAATTCATAAAATCTGGGGATTTCACGGTAAAATCTAGATTTTACCGTAAAATCAGGTAAAATCTCGATTTTACCTTCTGTTTGGCAGCTGAACTGTTAGCCTATTTCCTTTTGGGCTTCTTATCTTAGATTAGTGAGTTTTGACTAGATAACTCATAAATTAAGCTCATTTTTCATTTTAAAAGCCCACAACCCACGTAACCCAACCACAAATTAGCATTTTAATTGGGAATTCGGGACAAATTTGATTTAACCATCTAAAATTCTACATTTAAGTCATCTTCTTTGTTTAATTTATTTGTGTTATTGGATATTTAGATTTTAATTAGCTAATTT